CTTTTTGTTTTTAAAACCAGTTTAGAGTTGCATGTCACGTTGTGTATTGTCAAACAATCTTTCCTCGACTCGACTCTTTTCTCTTTTGAATAGTTGTGTATTTGTGCACAGTTATGCACCCATTGTTTTAGACCATTAAGTCGTTAAAATTCCCCCCCACACACACACACCCCAGAATGCACATTTTACACCTGAAGTAAGGAGTGCACGCGCAGCGACGGTTAAAAAAAATAAAAAAATTCAAACTTCAAACAGTTCGAACGGAGCGCGCGCACCATTGAAACCCAATTAACGAACTTGATGTGGTTATATACAGCAATAATGTCTGTCTATGTGACTAAACCGAGCGGATTGAGCTGTTTTGTTATTATTTACGTTATTGTTTATGTACTAAACCATGGCAGAAATGACTTCAAGCCTCGTGTTCTTGACGCGCGCGCAGTGTAGTATATTCTGAATTGAACATGGTCGCTTGCACTCGTGCTAATAAGGTGATGAGTGGAATCAGGTGGGTTTGAGAGGAGACACGCTGCTGTGTGGATTCTTTTGAAGGAATTCACAACGGTTCCTGCACCATGTCCTCCATAACACATTCAGGTGGAAGGAGACAGGTGAGAAACTGGACACGTAAATAAATAACAAACCAGAGAAGCAGGAAATGAGTCTAAAACTGGTCGAAGATGACTCAAGGAGGCATTCACACCTAATGTGACAGATATATGAGTCTTTATTTACAAGTGAATCGTCTTACATTTGATATATAGTGTGTCATTAAAAAATAAATAAATATATATATATATATAATAATTTTATTTGTTAAATGTACAGTGCAGAGATGTGCAGCTGTAGCTCGTCTGTCCAGCAGGGGGCAGTCTGTCTCCACAGCCGTTTATTAGGAATTGCGTGTGGTTAAATCAGAGCTGTGCACAGCTGGAGAAATGGACACCAAATCACACCCGTATTAGCTAACTGGAGGGAAAAGCAAGTAAAGGTAGAGAGAGAGAGAGAGAGAGAGAGAGAGAGAGAGAGAGAGAGAGAGAGATGGAGATGTATGGCTGTGTAAACTGATAAAATTGCTAGTGAGAAGTGGATGGAGGACAAGACAAACAGCTGCGTCTCAAATCAGATACCCTTGCACTATTCTAGTTGATTTTTTTTTATTTTATTTTTTTAAGTATACATACCTGCTGAAAAGTATAAACAAATATAAGTTGGAATATACCTTCCAGGGTGTGGAGGGAAAGATACTTTTTAAAAATGTATTATTAGGTTTTCACGATACCAACAACGTACCTTACGGTACTATACAATGTGAAGAGTCACGATACCAACAACATATCTTATGATACTATTCCATCTGAAGTGTCACGATACCATCAACTTATCTTATCATAAATCCATCTGGGAAGTTCGTATTTACGAGTTGGGAAGTTGTATTTACAACATAAGGTGCGTTTAAGTCACTTTGCTCGGAGTGAGTTGGCGGTGTATCTTGTACTCTTAATAAACTACAGAAAATACAGCAAGATTTTTTTTTCAACTCTACTTCTAGAAAATGAAGAACAAAGAATGCGCTTTATCAGGTGCGTGTTATCATTGCATTTTCTATCATAATTGCTACAATACAATTAGCTTGTTTTTTATTAAATAAAAAAAGGCTGACAACAACTCGCATATACCAAACACATAATAACTGAGATCAGCTTCTGAAACGAGTAAACATTCAATTTAACTCATTTACAGTCAACTACAGACATCGCATCCACTGATTCCTGCGTGTTTTATTACTGACACGCCCCCGACTCAGAAACTTGGAGCTTAAAGAAAGTCTCGTTTCCCAGACTCATAATTACGACTTTGTGGTGGCATTCATGTTCGTGCCATTCGTGAATACGATCTTTCTGACATGACTGGAATGCACCAAACGTTTATAATGTTTTTGCTGACAGTAATTGTTACATACAAAATAGAACATTACCTACCTATTGACAACATTACCGCTTTAAAAAAAAACAACTGCTGTAGTACCGGTATACCGTGCAACCCTATTTTGTACTAAACAATCCCATCATGCACTACTGAATATTAAGGGGTAGGGCTTGTGGCAGGTAATTGACAGAACCAAGATGGTTGTGGGTAGCACTTTAGCCTTAGAGTACCATGGTTCCTGGTTTGATCGTGAAAAAAAGGAAAAATGACTTTTTCCAAGATGTCAACTCTCTAATATTGACCAAATACAGCAGCTCTGGCAGTCAAAGTTCTGGCAGTGTCAGATTTTATTTAATTTTTTTATTATTAAAAACTCAATTGCTTGTCTAAAAGCCACCAATAGGAGGGCAGCATATGACGGGGTGAAATTCACAAGACAACTACGAATACTACAGTAGTGGAAATGGTGAAACGTGAACGGAATTTGCTAACGGAGAGTAAAAGGTACCTCAAGCTTACTTTGAAAAATGTTTGCGTTTATGCGAATGTGTTTTCTGTACAATCTCATATCTCACCGATCAGCGATCGCAGCTCTACCACCAGAGGACCTATAAAGAACGTATAATCTGACACGAAGAACATGTTATCTCACACGTTTGTTATACATAGAATTTGCAAACTATATCCAGAAGTCTTCGGCTATAAAAATTAAATGTAAGGATTTTAGACGAGAAATATAAGGGATGGAGATGTTTTTGACTAGCCTGAAGCTTAAGTAAACATGAACGACAGCAAAGACAAAGAAGGTATTTCTTAAGGTTTCTCAGGACACACACACACACTTGTTAGCATTAGTTCAGATCAGTGCTCTAGGGGCTTGTCCTGCTGTTGCCACCCTCTCCTCCACTTTGGCATGGTTGACAGATTCAGACTGCGAGGCGGGACGACCTTTCACCCCGCCCATCGTCCTAGAAGTGTCACTCTGATCGACTGAACAGGTCTCAGATTAGATCGTATTCTCCAGAGTCTGTTCTCCACTAGAACATTATGTTTTTTTGAGGCGATGCCTTTGAGGTTATTGATTTATTAGTAGAACGAGTGCTCTTCGTCACCTTCAGAGGTGGATTTTGATGGTATTGTTCAGTTTCATTGGAGTCGTATAAGCGCAAAGCCTTGATCAAAAGAATAATAATAAAAAAAGAAAACTAGAGAGTACTTGTGTCTTAGGCTTGGCCTCAAATCACACAATACTCGATCGCTTGTAAGTGTCTCGAATGGAAACAGCAGATCACACGGTCAGAATTTTTCAAAATGGCCGACACAGCAAGTAGTCTCCAGACGAACGAGCAGCCACTTTAAATCCCGAATTGCTGCCCTGAACTTTTCACTTAGTGCTTTAGCCATTTAAAAAAAAAAATTCTAAGCATTCTTAACTACTTCTGAGTAAATCTTAGCAATTTTCTATAAAGAAGAAACGGTTACGTTTTCTACTCTATAGTTCTGAAAACCACCGACATTCCTGAACTGAAATAAGATTCTCTTTTGTATGTATCACAACCACAAGTAACGTTTTAGGCGAGAACGTTGCATTTAAAGATTTTATTCTGATTGCAGTATTTCCTTCTGAAAATGGTTAAAGGGCAAAAATGAGCGTGAGAGGGAGAGAGAGAACAGGGTGAGAGAGAAGAATGTGAAAGAAAAAACAGAGAGGAGTGAGAATGAGAGAAGACTGGATATCTGAAATTGAGTCTTATTAATCTCTTCAGTAGGCGAGTTCGAGCTGCGTATTTTTATTATTTTTTTTCGCCGCTCCTGCCCTAGAAAGGCAGTCATGCTTAGCCGAAGTCGTGCTGATGGAATACATCATTGCATTATGGGTAAATTCTCCTTGGGAAATTGGAATGGAAGGCGGCATACCTACACACACATGCACACACCCACACACACAAGCAGGTTGGCTTTTTTCAATAATGGTGCCAGCAGATGGGGAATGCAGACCATAACTCTCTGTAGTTGTTTGTCATTGCAGCCGTGTGGTTTGATGGAAGCGATTTATAACCGAAAATCTGATCCCTCAACGCTCATAAAAAAAATAAATAAATAAAAAAGCCACTTGGTTTCACACGGCTCCAGATTCCTACATATTCTCGGCCCCATTTCCTCAATAGATAACCTATTTTTATTACCCTGTTTGTGGGAGCTGCACTGTTTAAGATGCTAATATCCAGATGGACTCTGTGATGCGTTTCTATTCAGAGCTGTCACCACTGCACCTGCTAACATTGTGCCATTTTTGAGCCGATCTAGTTTCACCTTACGGGGGGAAAAAAAACCCCCAACAATCCCGCAGTGTCCTAATATAATAAGGACCGTTGTTCTGTTCTGGTATTTTAAATCGTTTACAAAAATGTATATAAACGCATAGTATAGCTCTACAGATAATATTCTCTTTACCCGTGTAGCATTATAGATGTAATATTAATTACATAAGGTATAAAACACACAGGGGAATGCTGTAATGGGGACCTAGTTACTGTTACCACCCAGTAACCGCATGACCCCAAGTGTTTCATTCCCTTTATACTACAGAGATTTGTCAATGATTATTATTTTTAGTTTATTAAAAATTGACATACTTTTTTTTTTTTTTAATCCATTTATAGTTCAATTTGATCTCGTGGAACGTCCGTGAGACCTGTTATAGCAGCTATAAGGGAATTTGACATTCTAAATTGTCTTACTGCGCACACAGTACTTATCAAAACCGAGGTTACTTGGAAAAGTGCACAACATAAATTACCGAAACGTTTTGTCGCTGCTATTTATTATGTTCCTGGGACAAATGAGAAGGTAACAACATGTGCGTGTTGTTTTTGTACCCTTACTTGCTAGCATTTAGTGATAAGCGCTCCAGCCGACCACCCGATTTGACCTACAGCCACAATTGTTCTTTAGAAAGTTACATTTTATGGCATTTGGCAGATGCCTTCATCCAGAGCGACTTACAATGATCTAATTTTATACAACTGAGCAGTTAAGGGGTTAAGGACCTTGTTCAAGAGCCCAGCAATGGCAGCTTGCTGGGATTTGAACTCACGACCTTCCGATCAGAAGTCCAATGTCCTTCCACTTCCCAGCTGCTCAGTGTTAAAGCTCTAGTCATTTTCAATGGCGATAAGGTGATATCAAGCAAAGCAGCGTAAAAAGGACTGCAAAAGTTTTGCACGTTTATCAGTCATTGTGTCTCTGGAGTCTTTCTGGTGTTTTCTTGATGGATTATCCGTAGCAGTTCCTGCGGGTCTGTGAGAAATTTCTCTTCAGAGCCTGACGGAGGCTCGTACACATCCATCTCACTTACTGACCTTCAGCTGTTCGTTTTAAACGACTCTTTTTGACTGAATTGATTTGCAAGCAGACTACTTCTAATGCATTATCGTTTCTATAGTAACCGTTAACATATCGGCTTGCATGGTGGATGCTCCACACAAACAGATGTCTAACTGTTGAAATGGTGAAGTTCTGTGTGAGGAGATGTTTATTTAGTGTTTATGGAAGGTGTCTCCAGTGTCAGTGCTTTGTAGCAGCCAGAGGTAAAGGTGTAACTTTAGAAGAAAGTCTCCATGACAACAGGGCGTTGTGGTTTCTCGGTAGGTCGAAAAAACGAGAGGCTGGTCAAGGAAAGACTGTTTATAGCTGCTATAACTTGTAGTAACGTTTCACGGACAACGTTAAACAGATAAAACGTGTGATGTTTTTCTTAAATTAAAAGAGATTAAAATGGCTGTGGTATTTGTGTAATAAAACACTTTGAGAAGTGCTGTTATAGGAAAATGATCAATAGTCAAGTTTGTTTTCCTTTAACAGTAATGTTGTATTCCTCTTTGACCACAATTATTGGTATGTCGTTCACATACTGGTCCTCAAGCTCAGAAAGTTGTAGTTTCTATGGTAACACACAGCAATAAATGTATCTGTTTATTGTAGGGCTGGGCAATATGATGAATATATAATATATCATGATAAAATATGTTACAATACATCTTTAATAACAATTAGAAACCTTGATTGGGAGCAGATTAAATAAATAAATTTTCATTTAATTACATAACATATTGTCCTTACAATATAAATTTTTTTCTCTTTGTTTATGTATTTAACTAGTTTTAGGACTTGTGTGAAAATCTGATGATGGTTTAGGTCATGTTTCTGCCGAAATATAGAAAGTTCGAAAGGGTTCACAAACTTTCAAGCACGAAGACGTGTCTACCCGAACACTTTTGGTGTCAATCAGTTCTGAAATCAACGATCAATCAGCCCTGCGACGTAGAAATCTAGCTGTGCCGTTATAGAAGCACCACAAACGTTCAGTCCTTTTAAATCGCACTATCTACTGAATGATTTGCAAATAGTAAAATAAACAGAGAAATGAGTCGTTTCTATGGCAACAAGCACAACGACAGAACGGACGATAGCTATCACACGTTTCACCGGGGTGTTTTACCATTCTACAAGCTTAAAAAACTAAAGTTCTTTACCTTTCATCGAACTGAGCAGCAGTTAAGTTCAGTACACACACACACACACACAGCAGAGAGGAGAGAGAATGTTGATTAGTAATTTCAAATCTTGCAGGAGCCATCAAATCGGCTGCTCAATAAATCGGCTGCACTTTATGAGCCATTTTTTATTGTTATTGTTCGGTGCTGCTGCCTGATAAGCCACCGCGTGAATTTTAATTTTGCTCATGTAATTAAAATGCGCAGAAGGTGCTGTCTTAGAAGCCGAGGCGTAAAACACCGTAGCTTATTTCTGCGAGTGAAAAACGTGATGTGAATCTGCTAATGGTGTTTGTGCTTTGACTGGAATTGCATTGTTTTCTATCTGAGAAATAAACAGACTTTTATGTGTGTGTATGTGTGTGTCTATGTACGGCTAATTAGCATAACTGAATGATTGTTCACTGAGGGCATATTTGAAAAACCACTGTATCCTGACTTCCCCATTCAGTGGGTTATTTTTTTTATGTAATGAGTGGCTGAACAGTGAACGATTCAATGGTTGTTTCATGATCAAGTTAGCTTTTACTAGGTTAACGTCCTTCGCAATTTAACTAGCGCTAGAAACCGTTGTCAGCAGCTTGCTGTGTTGGTGTTTGTTGTTGTTGTTGCTTTTTTATCTAAAGAGAATGTTTTTCAGAAATGTGAGTTCACCTGAACAAGCCCTACAGCTCATTTCACAAAGCAAAGAAAGCTCATCTTAGCATGAAAAAAACTAGCTACAGGAGAAAATCATTCATGTTAATAATTGATAAAGTGTAATTGTGTATATGAAGTACATTTTACAAGATTGTGAACTTTGTCTGAATCTGCAATGCTTAATAGGTTTATAAAGATTGACGAGTCATATTTTTTTTGGGCATGAGGTACTTTTCCATATGGCTACCTCTCTGTGTGTACCAAAACCACCTCTGGTGTTTATTACCAAAAAGCTCTATTCTGGCAAACTGAAGACGCTCGAGTTTGTTTTTGGATGAGAGTAGAAGCTTTTTTCCTGAAACCCTTCCTTGTGGTGATGCAGGTGAACTTCTTCGGATTGTAGTTTTGGAGACTTTCTGACCCCAAGACGCAACTAACTTCTGCGATTCTCCAGCTGCGATCCTTGGAGATTTTTTTGTCCACTCGAACTATCCTCTTCACAGCTGATCGAGACACACGTCCAATTCCAGGTCGATTCATAACATTTACAGTTGACTGGAACATCTTAATTATTGCCCTGATGAATTGGCATATTCAATGCTTGTGCAATTTCCCAATTTTTTGAAGCTCAACAACCTTTTGCCGCACACCCCAGCTACATTTACCCATTGTTATGAATGACTAAATGAATGTGTTAACTCATATTTATACCCCTGTGAAACAGGAAGTCATGGTTGAGCAATTTCCTGTTCCTAGTCACCCAAACAAATGTAAAATATCAATGGGAATATACTTCAAATATATTTTACTCATCTGAACACATATGAGTGCCGATAATCGTTGCAAACCTCATGATCACTATCTAGATTTGCAAATAATATTGTTATTTTAATAAATGTCTCTGTCCTAACCACAACCTAAAAACCCACTTTATCTCATTCACAATATGCACACCTTCATTCTCCATCTTATGCCTGATATGCTGAAAATGGCTCTGTTAACGTTTCTGGTCTCGTCACTTTACGCACATTAACGCCTTACATTACGTGAATCATGTAAATGTTTGCATCCCTGTATATGAAACCATGAAACTTTAGCTACTTAGCTTACATCTTCCCTCACAGTCTTTCACCATTAGGACTGAAGCCCCACCCTCTTTGATTTGATTGGCCATCTCACACATTTTAACACTGCTGCTAGAACGTGTAACTTGTTAAACTTTTGGTCATCCTAACAACATACACAGAGGTACATAATGGAGTGCAGCGTTGAAAATATCAGATATTAACGGGGGTGTGTGTGTGTGTGTGTGGGGGGGGGAATATCTTATTATTGAGGGGAAATGAAGCCTTCTTCACTCGTTAATTTGAGAAAGCGTTATCTCTACTGCAGGAAGTTGAACGCACGAAATATAAATGAAGACACGTATAACAACTCCATATACTGAGACCTAGCTACGTGTTGGCGCACACCGGCCAACATGATCAAACCAAAAATAAAGAGAAAAGACAATGTTAATCATTTAAAAAGGCCACATCTGGGGCCTCCTCTGTCGAGTTTGTAGTTTGGCAGCCGTGACTCTACGCAACCCCTAGATTTAGTTTGGTGATTATCGTGTTCCTAAATCATCCTGGTTCACAGCGGAAGCAGGGTAATTAGTCATGTCGTGTTGAGTCACGTGGATCTTCTTTTCCCAACTGCTGGCACTTTAACCCACACTCCAAAAAAAGCCAATCTGAGGCAGAGGAAGAGAGCAGAGATTTTTTTCTCCCCCTATTCAGTGTGTGTGTGTGTGTCACTGAGAGCCACCGTCATCAGGCTTAGCTGGCAGTACAAAGGCCGCTGATTGCAGCTTGAATTTTAGCATCTTTCTCTCTCTTTGTCTGTGCCTGATTGCCTTTTCAGGAGAACATTCCTGCCCTCCTCCTCCTCCTCCTCCTCCTCCTCCTCGTCTCTTTCACCTCTTTGGGTACAGGGCTGTACGCTAACCAAAAATGATACACTAGCACGTGAAAATATCTAAGTATGCAAATGTGTCTAATATTTTTCTTTGATAGATTATTATAAAAAAAAAAGTAAATAGCTTGGCATATTCTGTTGTCAAATAATTCTCAAGCATTTATTTCTAGAAAAAAGCAAAAATGATCGGTTTCAAGCGTGAACTTTGTAACAATGTCAAGAAATAGGTTTAACGGTCTTATTTTTTAATAATCTTATAGGAAATATTAGATCAGTTTGCCTTTATTCGTTATTTAAAAAAAAAATCATTTACATTATAGCCGCTATACACATCCGATTCCTCACCAGCCTTTATTTATCTCTCAAAAATCACAGCTCGTCATGTTACTGAGAAAAACCAGAAATGTCTTAAAGACAGTCCCAGAATGTCTGAAAATTTACTGACTGCTACAAAATACTGACATTGGAGACTCGACTAAACATCTCATAGAAAACTTCACCATATCAGCAATAATATATATTTTTTCCTTTGGTAAATAACAACACATTTTCATGTTGATGAACTGTTTATTATTCGTAGGTTATGTATTAGAATTCCAACGTAAGGTATTAGAATAAACCTGTGATTTGTCTTGTATCTGGAACTACTATCAGAGCTGCGTAATCGAAAATTAATCAACACTTTGTGATGATTTATACCCTGCTGCGGTATAAATGCAGTAATATTCATTTTTGAATAATAACGCTCGTTAAAGTCAACTTTATTATGGCTCGGAACATGCTTAATGGTATTTTGACTGCTTATGTAGTGTAATTGTATATCCATTACTTGTCTTGTTGAGGTTAACAACAGTCGTAGTCTTATGTGGTGACACGTTATTTGGTTTTCTACGAAGTAATAGATATAGGATTGTGCAATTTTGCGATCGCTGGAACTGAGCACAAAATCAAGGGCGCTTGCGATTTTTCAAAATTAAATCAATTATA